ATATATATATATATATATAGAGAGAGAGAGAGAGAGAGAGAGAGGATTATTTGGCCATAACTTCAGGCAATAAAGTACACTTGATACAAAAATTGAATTGTAAGTAAAAGGCATTACATGAGAAAGAGGGCAAGCAAAACATCCATTAGCGAAATCAAAAACATAATCTCCAAAATTCGAGTAGTTTAAATACGATAGCCTAAGAGTGGGTATTCGTAAAATAAACAACAAGACGTATAAGGATAGACAGCTGGAATGAAAGTTTTTCGATATGATGTGAGTTCAGTCAACTCAGGACTCAGTTATCAAGGATGTAACCGATTTAAAAGGTGAATAATGAAAAGGCCGAAGCCATCAATGATAATAAGAATAAGCCAGTTTAATTAGGCCAAGTAAGAGCATAGGATTAATGCACTCGTGGCCAAGAAGGTTCAAAGTAAACTTAACAGATTGCAGGTGTTGCGAATGCAAGCAGATGCAAAAGAAAGAAGAGGCAATAACTACACGTAAACTTGCGTGCACACAGACAGAGAGACTGATGAAAAGCAAAGGCGGATGAACTCGGTGATGGATGCATATTCGTTCAAATAGTAATGAAAAAAGAGACACACAGATTAGCATAGCTTCTGAAAGTGGCCATTCGTCTGAAAAACGGAAGTGAAATAAAGAGAAAATCATCACTTGAATCTAAACATTTGTTGTCCTCCAGCCATTCGAGGGCCAGGAAAACACGTCGGCCCCTGACTAGCAAGAAATGGGCCGATACTAGGAGCAATGACGTGACCGAGTGAGGCGGTCAGCGGCTGTTGTTGGGAGAGATGGGGCAAGAGACTAACGGTAGAGGCAGGCTCAGCAATGAGAAATCGTGCCGGCCCAACGCCTGAGCCGGCAGCAGTAGCAAGTGGTTCCGAGGGCAAAGATGCAAGACCAACAGGAAGAGAGGTCGACTGAAGAGTTTGTAACTGGACAACAGAATGAAGCGACTGAGCGGCTGCCGGCGCAAGTGGGACGAGAAGTGTAGGTCCCGGATGGACCCCACCCCGCAAACTGCTGGTGCTAGTGACAAGGTGGCCCTGAGGGGTGGTAAGACAATTTGGAGGCAAATTATGTGATAAGGCGATTGCAACAGTGCCAGTGGGGCAGGGTGATGCAGTAGCCAGAGAAACAGGCTGTTGGTGCAGTTGCTGTGTTTGCGGCGAGGACTGGTGATTAGCCAAGCTGAAAACGGTTGCATGTTGGGGTAGTCCTGATGTCAATAGCTGGGTGGTGGAGACGCCGGGGGCGCAAACAGCTGTAGCATTGGTAACCGAGGTGCAAGTAGTAGAGCTGATTGGCGCCAAGACGTGGCCTCCCGGCTGAGCGATCAAGCCTGTTGGCGAAGGACCAGCCAGATTAAGACTAAAAGTAACGCTGGTCGGTGGCGTCTGCCGGGACATTTGAGCTTGTTGCTGGGGTCCCATAGGACTGCCAGGGAGGAGGCAGGAAGTGGCCAAGGGCAAGGACAAAGATCCAGACACGGGACTACCGGGTCGTGGTGCGATTATGGCCGGGGCTCTATGGCTGGAGGAGAACAAAGTAAGAGGAGCACCAGGCAGGCAGGATGGCTGCAAAGTGAAGCTGGGGACAAGTGGCTGAGATTGCAGTTGAGTCAGCTGGAAATTGGAAAGAAACGGATGGTGCACAAATGGATCCAAAAGTAGTTTAATATGGAAATTGAGGTAGAACTACTCATGAGTGATATACCAATCCCACGGGGCAAGAGGCCTTAATAACTGCTAACGTGAATCAAGAAACATACTATTGAATGTTGGAGTACCTTTTATATAGTTTGAGGAGGTGAGTGGAAGGGATTCGTAAGTTA